ATTACAGGCGTGAGCCACCGCGCCCGGCCTGTGATTTGCATCTTTCTAATGAGTAATGATGCTGAGCATCTTTTCATCGTTTTATCAGCCTTTAAATATCATCTGCGGAGAAACGTCTATTCAAGTCCTTTGCCCGTTTTTCCATCAGGTTGTTTGCTTTTGTGCTGTTAAGTTTTATGAGTTCTCTATGTAGTCTATACGTGAATCCCACCACTGATGAGGGATTTGTAAATATTTCCTCCCTTTCTGGGGGTTGCCTTTTTACTCTGTTGATAGTATCCTTTAACACACCAAAATTTTTCATTTTGATGAAGTCAATTACTCTTTCTTCTGTTGCCTGTGCCTTGGTGTCATATCCAAGAAATCCTTGTCAAATCCAATGTCACGAAGCTTTCCCCCAGGAATTCAATGTTAATATTAAGTCATTTTATAAGAGTTACAGGACAATTTTTAGAGGGAACAAGAAGATAACAAAACTCTGGCAAGGGGTTTACTGTATTTCCAAGGAGCCCATTTTAAAAACGAATCCTTGTAGGTGGACTCTGATCACCTGTGATAACACGACATGACAGAGGGAGCTGCCTCTCATCAGCAGTAACAGGGACATTAGGGGTGGATGCTCCATTCCACACCAACACTTACACTCTTTTCCTTTGTGGAGCCAACTTCCTTTATGATATTGGAGCCAAACAAAGGGAGAGGGGACCCACAGGTACCATTTTGCTTAACTGAGTAACTCACTCACATGGGTTTAAAGATACATGTGTGTTTCCTCACCAACCCCCCGCCCCCCACCACACACACAAAATCCCAGCTCCATCCCCAGTATAAGTATGTTGAGTGAATATTATGCTCATAGAAGACCATAACAAGCCATTAGGAAGGATCAAGTTCAAAGAGTTCAGCAAGGAAAACAATTCCTGTCCTGTCAAGGTGCCTTGACCTAGATTTTCAGGGTTCCTCCAGCAGCAGGCCCTGGCCTCCTCCCAGCAAGAAAACAGCATGGCTTGAGTCAAATCACCAATGCCAGGATGGCCACTCTCCAGCAAGCTCAGTAATGTATGAATTTGTACATCTGTTCTGAACACTGGCCAGAGCAGCCTGAGGCAGTCCTATCCAGCTGAAGGCTTCCGACCAGGAAATTATAACAAGAGTCATAATGAGCCATCAAAGTCATACTGTCCCTCCAAGACTGACACTCGTGCCATCAGAGCCATCATCACTGTGACCTTACTCAGTACAAGAGAGCTGGCCAAGCAGGCCCAAATCAAGCCAAGCCCAACTCACATGTCATCAAGATTGGTGACAGAAAGTGCCTGGCACATGCTTAGCACCAGACATTCATGGTGACTGCTCCCATGGTGAGCTGTGTGTCTTTCACTCCCCGCCCCATCACTTTCAGTTCCTCAAGGTCGGAAACCAGGTCTTATTTGCCTTTAAGCCCCAGCACATAGTAGGTCCTGCATAACTACATGCTGAATAGATAGCTACAAGAAAAATCTCCTTTCCCTTAACTCTGCAGATCATTTGGTTGGGAGTCTGAGGTAGAAAAATCAACAAAGCTTTGCCCATAGCATCTGTGCAGAGTTAACTCAGCTTCCTCCCAGGAGCTACACATCAGGAGAACAGAATTTCAAGGCCTTGTCAGATAAAGGAGGGCTTTATGGAGAAGAGTTACCTGAAAGTGTTTTGCATAACAATACATCTACGGATTTTAATGGAGCACTTTTCCCCCATTCCTTATGGACTCATTAAGCTGACAGCTTGGCACCAGCATATTGATGCCTGTTTTCTCTCCAACACAAACTGTACGAGTGTCTCATGTTTATCCACCCTATGAATTTCTAAGCAATGATGTAAAAACAAAGAGCTCAGAAAACAAAGAAAAGATGCTGAGTTGAGCTATTTCACAAGAAAACAATAATAATCGTCTCCTTTCCGCCCTCCTCCCACTCGAATTGGGTGTATTTGGGTTTTGGTTGTTTCCTTTGTTCAAAGATTTTGAATTGCAACAGCTTCTTTTTGCTTATTAAAGAAGACTGTGCTCTCAGCAGGGTGCAGTGGCACGTATCTGTAGTCCCAGCTATTGGGAGGCTGAGGCAGGAGGATGATGTGAGCCCAAGGGTTTGAGGCCAGCCTGGGCAACATAGTGAGACCCCCATCTCTGAAAAAAGGCTGCACTCTAGGGAATTGCCAGTCAAAGTGCTGGTCCTCGAGAAGATAAGGAGCTGGCAACAGAATGTAAATCAATGCATTGCTTCCTTCTTCAAAATGTCTTGCTATGGGGAAAAAAAAAAAAAGGCAGCTCAGTTAAACAGTGTGGTTAGTGCCAAAGCTGATCTCCTCATGGACAGGTAACAAAGAATTCAAAGACTGGTACAGCTGCAGATCACAGCTCAAGAAGCATTGCTGTAGGCTGCAGAATTCCCCACCTGCCTGAAAACATACTAGACTGACATTTAAAATGGTCTTCTGAGAGTATTTGGCCACCTAGTATCAGCAATTCCTTTTTTTTTTTTTTTTTTTTGGTAAAGCACTCCAATATTGAGGATCCATTACAGCCTGCTCTCCATCTGTGGGATTCAGGCAGAGACTCTATATGACTAGGCCTCCAAGTCCCTCTAATCACAGTGAGTGGTTCAGGGAAGCCATGATCCAGGGCTGGCCAATCACCATAATTCCAACCTTGCGACCAGTTTTCAGATCAAGGATGGCAGTGGCCCTGACTGATCCAATCAGAGTGAAACCTGGGACTAAGGCAGGAGCTACCAGGAGAATGGCCTCTTTCCACTAAAGTTATAAGAATGTCAGGCTGGAGTTGACACCCATTGTTGGGGGCAGCTGTACAACACTCATTGTGGCGGGGGTGGGGAAGGGGCTGGATGTGAAAAGAGGCAAAGATTGGGAGCAGAATTGAAAGACAGAGAAATTGGATTCTGAGTCTAATACTGGAACCTCTGCACAAAGCCATGCGTGAAGTAGGTTTCTACCCTACGACTTTTCAGTTATGCGAACCGGTAAACCTTACTTTTGCTGAGATCAGTTTTTGAGCTTTCTAACACTTGCAACTGAAAGAGTCTAAAGTTACACAATGACTACTGTACCCTGGGCTCACTCTAAAATCCATACGCATTGGTCCTAAAGAAACAATTCTGAAAAGTCAAAAGGTGAGGAGTCAGAAGAGCTGCCATGCCAGGTGCAGTAGCTCGTGTCTGTAATCTCAATGTCCTAGGAGACTGAGGCAGGAGGATCACTTGAGCCCAGGAGTTTAAGACCAGTCTGGGCAACAGAGCAGGATTCCATCTCTTAAAAAATAAATAAACAAATAGCCAGGCGTACTGGTATGTACCTATATTCCCCACTACTCAAGAGGCTGAGGTGGGAGGCTCACTTGAGCCCAAGAGGTTGAGGCTCCAGGGAGCAGTGATTGTGCCTGAGCCACAAGACCACAAGAGCAAGACCCTGTCTCAAAATAAAAACAAAAACAGAAAAACAAGAGCTGCCACTATCTGGGACTAGAGGCAGGCTTAGCAAGACTTTCACACCTATGCCTCTTCCTCTGTCAAGTGGTTAGCAGCTGCCTCATCTATCACCTGTCAGAAGACTGCAAGAATCATGTAAAAGGACACGAAGGAAATCACTCTGGTAGCCCATGAAAAAAAGCACTGCATGAACAAAAAGTATTATTATTATGAGCACAACACCTTATTATTCAAATTTCAAAATTCTGGCAAGCCTAACTATCCAGAGCCTAGAAAAAAATGTAAAAGCACTTGAAGCAACACATTGCTTTTACCAAATCTGATAGTCTATGGCGCAGGAGAAGAAGCACTCTCTGCAGGCCAAAGGGTATAAACGGAGGCGGTAAGAGCCTGAGAATAAAGAAGGCGCAGCAGACGGCCACGGCAAGCCTTGCGGTCTGAGCTGAGCAGCAGCGTGCACCATGGGTCAGTTCTCAGGCTCACCCAGGAAGGTTCTTCCCCATTGCATATATCACTCCATCGACTTAAGCTTATGAATCATGAAAGAAAAATGGTTATTTAGTTTCAAAATTACACTCCTCACTGCTATTTTGCAACTTTGGAGTTGTTGTCCTAACAATAATATGGTTATCCAATTAGGCAGATTTTAGTTGTTTGTTTTTACTGTTTTTATAGCCAAGATCTAAGGGGCTAACATAACCACAGGAATTTTACATTAAAAGACTAAACTGTTTTGCACATTCTGCACTTTCCCCAAAGTCAGAATACGACTGTTTTCTGATAGATATAAACAGCTAGCAGTCATGGGACAAGACCAGAGGAGGTATTCACAACATTCCTGATTTGTAAGCCACCTTCTGTTCATGAGGGTTTTAATGGATTCTCTTTCGAAGATAAAATAAATTTTTGGAATTCCAAATAATGTATCTGGAAGTAGCTTTGCTCTTTACAGTTCCTGCGTTTGAGGAACTCAGTCCTGCGGGGAAGTGGGGGGAGGACAAATCAGTCAGCTTGCTTTACTACTCCCTCATGTACAGGACATCAACCCTGCGTCAGGCATTTGCATGCACAGCCAACCGCATCAGGCCACATTACCAACGGGCAGGTTTTGGGTCCTCGGGAGCAAGGAGCAGGTTGGGCCCTGCCTCCCTGCTCCCGTGGACAGCCTGCATTCAGACAGAGCCAGGGCATTCCCACTCTGCCCATCTCCACAGGGAGGCAGGCCCCAGCATGGCCTGTCTATGGCCAGCTCCACAAATACCACTACTCTTTCTTCTGCTTCTCCGCATGCATCCCCAATTTGTAACACAAGTTGGCCGTCCCTATTATCTGATTATCTTCAACTCAACGAAAGGGGGTAATAGGTCCCCTGCTGGCCTCAGGCCCAAGACTTGTTCTCCAATCTAGCTTTATCATTATTAAAGTGATTCTGAGCTTTATTGATCTGAGGCAAGATAAGTTAAAAGGCAAAGGGGAAAGAGAGAGATGGGTTGTTCCCCCCAAACCTCTAACACTTACCAGTCTGGACAAGGCTCTGGACCCAGCATAGATTATACCCACAAACAGCACTGAAGCAGGAAGCCACGCCAGAACATGAGATCTGGAAAGAGGGAAAAAAGGCAATAACACTTTTGCCACTTTTTGTTCAGAAAGACCTGGCTGGAAAGGCTGACCTTCCAGATGCATCAACTACAGCAATAGAAGCTATCTAAACATCTCTGGCGGACTTGTTAAATGAGATGTGGCCTTTATCCACAGAGTGGTGGAGGCAGACAAAGCCACACTACCTGCAGTCCCATCATTACTTATCACCTAGCTAAGAGATCCCAGAAATGGAAATGGTAAACGCCTTGCTGCAGCTTGGAAAAAAGAATAGATCTTTTTTTTTTTTTTTCCAAGGGCAGTGAACATTATTCTTTGGATTGTAAATAAAGGTATTGATTGACTTATGACCGATGCAACTTACGACCATTCAACTTTACGACCACAATCGCTAGCCACGACTGCTCCACGTCTGGCAGCGCAAACGTTGCCCAGCTGGACGTACAACAGTGCGGACCAGCTTCCGGCAGCACTACCATCTCCGCGTGCATATAGCCTACTCAACTTACGACCAAATCGTGTTACGACAGGTCTGTAGGAACCAATCGTGGTCGTAAGTTGAGCACTAGCTGTAGTCAGAAGTTTTGAATCCATGACAAATTATTAAAAATTGAAAAGGCTATTTACCCAGGTACTACACCAAACAGCTCTGTGGAATCACAACAAAAAGAACCACAGTTTCAAGGGACAGAATTGAAAAATAGAATCCCAGAACTTCAGCTGGGTGCCCATAGGCTGGCTTCTTCAACCATTAACCTGGCGGTGTTGGAATTTTGGTTCAGGGACTCTCCAAGGACTTCTGAAGAGCAGGCTTCTTTTTCAATTGCAGCCACACCAGGAACTGCTTTTTCTTAGAGTTTAGAATCAAAATCCCAGTTTATACACTCAGTGCATATCACTGAGGTTGCAACCTGCTTCTCTCATCAGTTAGAAATGCATTTGATTGGCTGGGTGTGGTGGCTCATGCCTGTAATCCCAGCACTTTGGGAGGCCAAGACAGGTGGATCAGTTGAGCTCAGGAGGCAGAGGTTGCAGTGAGCCAAGATCACGCCACTGTAATCCAGCCTGGGCAACAGAGCAAGACCTTGTCTCAAAAAAAAAAAAAAAAAATGCATTCAATCTACTAATTCAAATTCCCAGAATTATCCTAATAATTAATAAAAATAAATGAAAATAATTCAACAGAATATAACAAAATAATCCCAACTAACTCAATGAACTGATCTCCTGGAATGATGCCTGCTCAAGAAATGGTCTTTGTTAATTTTATTAGCATGGGCAGGCACTCCATCCCAGATCAGCCCTGATCTGTACAACTTCCTAGAGAACCTAGCATTTAAATGTTTCCAGCCTCTAGTAAGGGCCTTCAAACCTTACTTGCTGTATAAACTCATTGTGCAAATACTTAAAGCAACTTACAAGGTGCTGAGTATGATCATTAACAGCAGCACCACAGGTAACATTTATTGAGCATTTGCCACAAACCAGGCACTTTGCTAAATGTTTTATATGCTGCATCTTTCTTAAAGTTGAACAATAATCTTATGAGGAAGGTGTTTATTATTATTACCCCGTTGCGCAGATGAGGAAACTGAGGCACAAAGAGTTTAGATAATTTGCCTATACTGTAGTTAGGAGAGCTGGTAAATGGCAAAGCCAGAATTTGAATTCAGGTCTGTCTGGCTCCAAAGCCCTAGCTGTTAAACACCAATTCATACTTTGCCATCACGGACCTCATAATCTAATGGGAGACACTGACATACAAATAGATAAGCTGCAAACACTCAGATAATTGGCTGCAGACCAAGCAGCCAATTATCTGAGGGATATTCTGTTATCACTAGTCCCGCTGCAATAATAGATGTCAGTACCCACAACCAAAAGATAAACAGATAAAGGAAGATGCTATCCTCCATTGCAATGGGTCATGGGTGACATCAGTCAATTGCTATTCTAGGAAATGGCTTTTCCCACTTGACATTAAGCTTACATGAATCAAGGGAGGCAGATACAGGCCCATGGCCTGTTGTGCACCAGAAGGAAGCCCACAGCACATACTGCAGGCAGGGCGCTGAGGAGGAAGGAGGAGGTGCACTGGGTGAAGCGGCAGCTGGCCTCACTGTGGGAGGCCCAGGACTTTGGAATGTAAGGTCAGCAAGGCCCCAGAGATGTGTACTCCATGCCCTCGTAAAACAAAGAAAACTGCTGAGTTATATATTGTAAGAGGCATCAGGGTGTCTGAATGACCACGGACGTGAGGAAAAGAAAACATGCCTAGGGAACACCTTGTATTTTAACCCTCCTACCCTCAAATACAAAGAAATAACTTTAACTAGAAAAGAGATAGGCAGGCCTCGTAGGACCAAAGAGACTTCTGGGAAGTGTTAGCGGCATCTGGCTCCCGATGTGGGACTGCCTCCCAGGCACACGACCCCAGGGCTTGTGTTCTCCAAAGTCATCTCCCTCAGGAACAACAGAGCCAAAGCAACACGTACTCATGGTGGCACTTCAGACACACAAGAGAGGTGGTAGACTGCAGAGCCACCATGCTGTCTGTGTGACTGTCCTTCGCCGCACGCCAACCTAAGACCATAGCCACTAAGAATAAGACAACTGAATCACTTGAAAAATTGCTAACAAAACAGGTATGGGCAAGGCAAGTGTGAAAAGATAGGGCAAAAAGGAAAAAATTAAAAATCAAGGACTCTGAATTTATATTGTTTCAAAGTATCAAAGGTCTCATTCTACGTTTTTTTTTTTTTTGAGACGGAGTCTTGCTCTATTGCGCAGGCTAGAGTGAGGTGGTGCGATCTCAGCTCACTTCAACCTCTGCCACCCGGGTTCTAGTGATTCTCCTGCCTCAACCTCCCGAGTAGCTGGGACTACAGGTGAGTGCCACCACGCTCGGCTAATTTTTGGATTTTTAGTAGAGATGGGGTTTCACCATACTATCCAGGCTGATCTTGAACTCCTAACCTCATGATCCACCTGCCTTGGCCTCTCAAAGTGCTGGGATTACAGGTGTGAGACACCACACCTGGCTTTCATTCTACTTTTAAGCATGTACTTCAACTGAAAATCACAGAGTATGTGCTATGTGTAGTATATGCAAGAAAGGACTGAGGGACAGCAGTCAACAATCCATACACAAACAGAAAGCCTTACCACAAAATCAGCAAATTAATGCATATTTATATATCTTTAATTAACATAAAAACATTGTTTTAGCAAAAGATGATTTCCTAGGCCAGGTGCTGTAGCTCAGACCTATAATCCCAGCACTTTGGGAGGCCAAAACGGGAGGATAATTTGAGGCTGGGAGTTTCAGACCAGCCTGGGCACCACAGCCTGTTTCTATAAAAAATTTAAAAATTCAGCTGGGTGTGGTGGGTTGAGTCTGTAGTCTCAGCTACTCGGGAGGCTAAGGTGGGAGAATCGTTTGAGCCCAGGAGGTCAAGGCTGCAGTGAACCATGATCATGCCATTGCACTCCAGCCTGGGCAGCAGTGGTGAGATCTTATCTCTTAAAAAAATAAAGAGATTCTCTGATTTATCTGACTTTCAATTAACTCACTAATTATCTAACAGATTCCGAAAAGGGAGCTTCTGGATATATTACTAATGTCTCCTCCACACTGTGTTACATGGATGGGAATTGTATGTGTTTCATTCATATAAAATAAATGAAACACTACATTGATAACTTGCATAAAGGAGACTAAAGTACTGTGCTATACCATAAGGGAAACTGACCTAGTCAGTGAGAATAGGGAAACCTTCCCCAAATAAGTGATATTTGAGATGAAATTCAAAGTTAAACTGGCTACAGGACACAGGATAGAACAGTGCAAGGGACATAACATTCCAAACATAAACATAGTGGTTGCAAAGGCCCTGTGGCAAGAGGAAATTGGAGGAAGGCAAGTTTGGCTTGAGTAGATGGAGGAATAAAACCAAGGTAGGGAGGGCATAATACGGTCTAACTTGCATTTTGACAAGGTTGCTCTGGCTATAGTATGGAGAACAGGTTGCCACAGCGTTAGGGGTGGTGCATTAAGACAGGAAAAAATCGAACAGGCTTAACAGGAGAAAATCATGAATTCAGTCTTGAAAATTATAAACAAGATGCTTTTGGGATACCCAAGCAGTGACATCCAGTAGGCAACTGGATCAAGGATCCTTTCCTATCCTCTGGTGAGCAAGAATGCACTGTTTAACATGTCTTACATTTGGTTGTACTGTATTTCCTTATCCTTCAGTTTTGAGAATAAAATACACATACATTTTCTTCGACATAATAGCTCCCTTTAGTTTATTATTAACAGCAATACGAGCCTTCTGTGGCTTGGAAAGACTTTGTCACAAACCTATTCTTCATTGCTATGGTCTGAATCTTTGTGTCCCCTCAAAAGTCATATGTTGAAGTCCTAATCTCCAAAGTGATGGTACTAGGAGGTGGCGTCTTTGGGACGTGATGATGCCATAAGGACAGAGCCTTCATGAATGGGATTAGTGTCCTTATAAAACAGGCCCAAGCCAGGTGTGGTGGCTCACGCCTGAAATCCCAGCACTTTGGGAGGCTGACGTGGGCAGATCATGAGGTCATGAGATTGAGACCATCCTGGCCAACATGGTGAAACCCCATCTCTACTAAAACTACAAAATTAGCTGGGCGTGGTGGTGTGTGCCTGTAGTCCTAGCTACTCAAGAGGCTGAAGCAGGAGAATTGCTTGAACCTGGGAGGCAGAGGTTGCAGTGAGCCGAAATCATGCCATTTTGCACTCCAGCCTGGTGACAGAGCAAGACTCCGTCTCGGAAAACAAAACAAAACAAAACAAAACAAAACAGGCCTAAGGGAGCTTGTTTACTCCTTGCACCAAGTGAGGATGTAGCTGGAAGGCACCTCCTATGAACCAGAAAAGTGGGCCCTCACCAGACACCAAAACTGCTAATGCGCTGATCTTGGGCACTCTAGACCTGTGATAAATAAATTTCTGTT